ATTCTCCTGAATTGCATTGTGGATACAGCAGGGATAAGTGAATGTCTGCTTAGCAGAGGGTGGATTTGGGTATTCTGAGGTTCATGGATCCGTTTTGTGGGTGAGATCCATTCATGTGGGAGTAGGGGGTCTCACAGGGGGGTGAGGGGGTGGAGGAGAACTCGCTTCCACTGGGGTACATCTCCGTCTCGGTGTCCGCCCCCGAGTCCAGCGCCACGTCGTCCATTTCCAGCGGCTCGCGGCCGTGGTTGTCCAGGCTGTGGTAGAACGACACCTCGGCAAAGTGGGGCTGAAGCTCGGGCGACAAGATCTCAACAATCTCCAGGAATGTCGGGCGCATGCTTTGACGGTACTGCCAACACAGCTTCATCAGGTCGTACCTGTAAAACAGCAGGGGCACAGGTTAGTATGACCACTTCTACATGGATGTTTATCAAATATACATGTGCCGGCCATTGAATTGTCTTCATAACACAATCACAAACATTCCCTGAAAACTTTCCTTGTGCAGTCAAGTAAATACACAAATAATAACAGGAAACATAGATTTTGGCCAGGAGTAACATAGAAAATTTGACATCAAGACTCTGAAGCGAAGACAAATAAAGTTGCATCAATATACAGACGACACTAGTACTAACAGAATGATTGCCATTTGAAGGATGTTAACTTACAGTTTGTTGGGGCATCCCTCTGGCTTCTCCAGCATTCCACCGTCAATAACAAACTTCAGAACCTCTTCATTGGACTTGCCTTGGTACGGCTGAGAGGCAAGGGTTGCCATTTCCCACAGAACAACGCCATAGGACCTGCAAAAGGGAGAAAATGACATGCTTACCAAACAACTACGCAGAACCAACAAGCAATCAAACAATCATTTTTCATATCATTTTTCATACCAATCAACAGATTCCATCACAACAGAAATCTTTGCATTTCTCATGATGTAGCTGTACTGTAGCTGCTGAACTCCTAATACTAAGCAGGGCTTACCAGACATCAGACTGGCTGGTGAAAACGCCGTCTTTGAGAGACTCTGGCGACATCCATCTCACAGGGAGCAGTCCTGCGGAAATGGACAAGTGTCAACAATGGAGGCACTCTAGTGATTACAGCTTCTTATCAGTAAGATTAACCTCGTTTTTAGAAAGGGGAATCCGACAGTAACAAATGAATTTTACATGCCACTCACCTTTTCCTCCTTTTCTGTAGTAATCCGTCTCGTAGATATCCCTGGTCATGCCAAAGTCTGCAAGGCAACACACCACAATGAGTAAAAGACAGTAATGATTTACAGCCATGATAAGATTTAACC